AATCCATAATGTGAAATGTGTTACATGCTGGAACACCATCAAAATTGTAAAAACTGCTCAGATGGATCAAGTTATTTGATTTTCTTAACATCCTGTGCTTAAATCCTATTTCTTCTTTTGAAATTCAGAATACTGATTTCTGAAACAAGAAATTTTTTAAAGAACTTGGAAAAAAAGCTCCTTCTCCAGATACTTTCTGAAACAAAATGTCACTGAATCTGATGTATTTTTTATAAAAGCTTCTCTTACGTCAAATCCATGTTTCTATAGCTGGGTACCATTCCACTGGAAGAGCTCTGATCGGCTTTAGTAGACCAAAATACAAAGACTAAAATTAGACTCTGTGCATTTGTGTAATTCAGACATAGTCTACCAAAAACATTTTCTTTAAATAATTACTTTAAATTTCTTTAGTAAATACACAACTTCAGGAAAAGTCATGTGTAAACTAAGTATCTCTGGTTTTTTCCTCTAAAATCTCAAACTCAACCAAGATGTATTTAGTCCTAAAAGCAAAGAAATAGTAGCCAGCCTGGAAATTTTCTACAGCACCAACAAATAAACCGCCTCAAGGATACTACATAGGCATGTGTAAAATCAGCTTAAGTAAGTTAACAGAACTGAGGAAAAATGGCTTTACTCATGTCAACATGTGTACCATAACCTCTGATTTAAATTTACCTTCTTCGTTAAATGGTGACATTCACAGATCTTAATGTAAGTAATGAAATGGAAATCAGATGTTTGTCTTTTAGGAAAGAATGGATAAAGAGGATGAAGGTGCAGGGTGAAGGTTCCTGGAGTTTTGCCTTTTCTCATTCAGTCACAGTGGTCCAGAAAATTTGACCGGCTTCTTCAGATTAGTCAGTCTTGGCTGTTCCCAGAGCAAAATGCCTTCTGTCATTTTCCCTTTAGTTTAATTTCAGAGATGGCTTTGCATATAGCTCCCTGGGGACTTACACTGACTAATCCCTCTCTGCTGTAATTAAGGAAAAGAAAAAAAAGAAAAGGAAAAAAAGGGAGAAGGAAGTCATAAATAGGATTTATAAAGGGAAGCTTTTTATATTGAATTCTGAGAGCCACATTTTATAGAACACGAATGCTGACCCGCTCTAAAAGGGTTTGCTGGAAATTTAATTTCAGGTCTATGGTTAAAAGGGCAACTTTTGCAAACTTGCATTCATATTCATTCACCTCTTGTTCTGTAAAGGTAGTCTCATCAGTATCAAATGGCATGTTTCAGTCTCTACAGACAGCCACATAGCACGCAGCGCCCTTCCAAGCAGTTCAATATAGGAACTAAAAGCCCCTACATAGTCAGGTGGAAATACAGAAAAATGGTTTTGTTTTCTGTATTTTCTTCTATCTTTTTCAACAGACACAGAGAAGTCATCAAAATAGCAATTGATATAAAAGAAATGCAGGAATGAAACAGCACTTTGTAATTTCTTCAGCTGCTCCTTCATAGTATTTTTTTTAACTCTATCCATCTTAGCACTTTTCACAATTAATACTTTATTAACCATAACAATTAGCAAGATAATATTGCATGGCTACATCTTACTTAATATTTTCTGAATTTCTTCTGTTCAGAATTTAGGCTAATACTGTTTTGATTTAACCGAGTTTTAGGTAAACGGCTAGTAATAACCTAACAACTAACATACCCCTGAACACATCTAAAACTCATCAGGTTTTGTTCACTTATGTAAAATATTTATATAAAGATATTATGGGGGGAGGGAATGTTAATATTCTCCCTAGTTTCTTTGATTTATTTCACTTGATAACCTGTTTCTTCTGCATTAATCTACAACCTCAATGAACAGTTAGCATGAAAGGGGAAAGCAGTCTGAGGTGTCATGGCTGACCATGATCTACTATTTAATCTCTTGGTTGTTGATGCAGATTCAGTCCAAACAGATTATAAATGATGTTTGTTACAGTTTAGTGACTACTGTTTCCTTAAAAAAGGATCATCAGTTTGTTCAGCTTCTCAAGCAGGTTCCCACTTTCAGAAGCTCTTGTAGGGAATCCCTAGTCTGAATGTTACTTACATAGGGACAAGCTCTTTTTCCCACCCAGCTGTGGCATGGTCAGTGTTTAACCTCTGTGTGTCCCTCTTACACACTAGTAAGTGTACATAACTAGTACACACTAGATATCTATTAGCAGGACATTTGGGGTTGCTTATGCTGCAGCTGCTTCTGCTTCTGTGGATAAATAGCTTTTTCTTTGTGGCTCTCAAAACTACCTGCTCATTTAAGAAGAGAGAAGGAAAAGTAAAGAGCATATTCAGCTTGAACATGACCTCTCAAGGGAAAGAAAAATAAAAAGTCCCAGTAAGATTTGAAGCACCTGAAGAAATCATCTTTTCTGTGCTAACCTGTTTTATTTAACTGTTCCTAAGTTTCATTGATCTCTTTGCCTTGATTGCGAGTGACAGGAATTGGTTTTTGTTGATCTGTTTTCCTTTGCTTGAACCAGCTTTATTTATGTTAAAACATCTTCCCCATACCTATTTGCTTAATGGTAAGTGACCTGTTGCCTCTGCATGTGTGAGTGACTGCTGAGATAGGTAATTGCATAATTTCTTTTAGGTTTCTTGTTTAAGGGTAAACTGAAAATGTACCAGTCACTTTTATGCTTCTCATGTTCACAGGGAATTGGTTCATTATGCTTTTGAACTACTGTGAAAAGTCTTTTTGCGGCTGTATTCATTAATATAATTATCAAAAATATATTCTAATTGGCTGCTTTGTTAGCTTGATAGGCCTCCTCTCCAAAGCAAACTGTAGAATATCCACACAAAACACCTGACCAGGCAACGAGGTGCTTAGGCAGGCAGGCTGACAGAGGTGGCACTTTGCAGTGCTGTCATGGGCAACCCCTGACACCAGCGATGCCAATTTAGTGAGTAAAAAATACACCTCTTAGGACTGGAAAGATGCCCCTTTTTGTGAAACTGTGGGATTACTACTCCTGCCTGCCTACATCCATACAGGGGATGCAGGGAATGGCATGAGATGAGCTCCTCTGGAGGAAGATGATTCTCAGTGTCGTTGTTGATTGCCATGGTAGGAAGGGAGAATATTTAGGGGATTTAAATGAAATGCTTACTCTAAACTGGAGTTAGAGCAAAGTCTTACTTGGGATGATTTCTGGCTAGATTATATTTGTTCTCCTTTCTTTGTAAATGTGTTTATTCGTTCTTCCAACCAACAAGAAGTGTTGCAGGCAGATTAATGGTTCATAATAACAAAACATTTCGCTAGAAATCTGACTTACTGCAGTGTCAATTAAACAGCTTCAGAATCCCCAGACACAAGGCTTTCTAGCCATCCTTCTAAAACAGATATGTTACACAGTGCTCCCAGGAGACTAGCGTCTTCCATCCCTACAGGATAAACTCTCAGTTCCAGATCTGTGGTCTTGTACTGTGACTGCCCACCCCAGACATACAAACCTGGGGACTGTCAGCCTGGGTGGTGCTGCTGCTCTGCCGTATGAAGATCTCCCATAGACAGTTGATGTCTTTGGTGGGTGGGCAAGGCTAAATCCTGTGCACACCAGTTGTGTGGGGTTTCTAAATGTAATGCCTGTAATATTAGTGAATAATGCCTTGTCTAACCATTTCTGACAGGATTTTCAGTCTAGTTTATCATTTCAGCTTTGGTATAACACTGCGAATGTCTGACTCATTACAAGGAATGAGATAATGAATATGCTGGGCTTTTGTTTTGACCTAAAGTGTGGTAGCTATTAAAATGACCAGATTTGCTCCCTGAATGCATCATCAATTTGCAGACTTCCCCCCGCAGTGCGATAATGCTTCTGCCAGTCTCTAGTGCCAGGCATGAAGCAGGCTGAGAAGGGAGCTGATGGACAGATCTTCCATTACAAAGGTCAGCCCTCTATTGCTCTGTGGCATCACTCTATCATAGTCCCCTTTTTCATCATGAGATGAAAATTCCTGTCTAGAACCTGCATACTTGCATTAAAGCACCATGATAAAAAGAGCATTGATGAGTTTGTCCAGGCAACACAGGGACATAGAATCATAGTATGGTTTGGATAGAAAGGGACCTTAAAGATATCTCATTCCAACCCCCTGCTGTGGGCTGAGACACCTTCCATTAGACCAGGTTGCTCCATCCAGAGCCCATACTGGCCTTCCAACATAGAGCATACAAGGGATCAATAGCTGCTGGTGTGTGTGGGATTCTCTCCTTCCCCACCCCCCCCCAGGGAGAGAGGAGAATCACCTATTATCCTTTTTTTCAGCCTGGTCCTCGTATTTATGAAGCCATCCTTTAAATGCACTCGAAGATACCACATTATACAGTTATTTCTGACATGAAATCTCAGGTGAAGTGATTACTTGGAGGAATCTTAAATTCTTCATGTTCTTTTCAGTGGAATGACCAGCTCATGAGTACCTGTAGACAGGTCATTATTTAACTTCATTCTTCCAAGACATTTTAAGTAACAGCACTAATTTATATGTGGACATTTGCAAATTATATGTCAATGTAGATAGTCAAGACCTGACTCAATTCTAACCAGTAAAATGCAGTGATCTTGCTTAAATTGTGCTGAAGAGACAGACTTGTTCTTGATTGCTCTGATTTGTGTCTTACGTCTAAAATACTACTGATAACTTGAGGGTTGTTGTGTGTTTTGTAGGCGGCTTCACTCCAACTTCCTGCACTGCGACTGCCACCTGGCCTGGCTGTCGGACTGGCTGCGGCAGCGCCGCACCATCGGGCAGTTCACCTTTTGCCTGGCCCCTGTCAACCTGCGCGGCTTCCTGGTGGCAGATGTGCAGAAGAAGGATTTTGTCTGCTCCGGTAATGCTGCCAACCCTTCATTTATCTATCAGCTGATGGGTTTATATTGATGTTCACATGAAAACAGGGAGTGGATAATTACTATGTTGTGTTTGAATGCCACTCGGTAGCAGTCCTGTTTGGTTTTATTGCTGCTAAACTGTATAGGAGTAGATTAAATTGTTAATGTTTTTCAGCTTTATAAGAATTATTGGATTCCAGTTAACGTTTCAGTTTTGAAATTATGTGTTCTGCTTTAGCACTGCCAATGATATCAACATCAGAAATCAATTAAGTGTGGATAATCTGGTGTTTCTCAAGGGAAGATCTTAAGAGCTGACTGGAATACAAAAGAAAGGAAATAGAAAATGCTAATTTCTGTTGATAAATCACTGGACTATAGAACATGAGCAGATTTTATCCCAGGGATAGAAACAGGATGCTTAGGGAGCCAATGCACTTTGCTGTTCTACAAGCTCATACACTGATAAATGGGGCTGATAATATACAGCCAACTCACAAACCATGTGTCTATATGTTAGGCCTATTCATGAAGTCTCTGGAAGTGCACTTTGCTCTTTCCTTGTAGAAATACATTTTCCTGGAAGAAGGAGAAAAATAAAATAAAAAAAAGAGAGAGGTAAAAATAAAAAGATTGGAAAAAGAAATCTCTGAATTTGGCTGAAAGGAACAGGTCTGGCAGAGGAGATGCATGGCAGCATGTGTGCTCTGGGAATAAAGGAAGAGACCAGGCACAAGTCTGGAGTGAGTTTTGCAGGCAAATGGTAAGTAACACAGGGAGCTTGTTACTAAGTCAGTGTGAGTCCTAATCTTGATAGACTGTGAGTCGTGTGGTATCGTGTTCTTCATCTCTCTCAGCTATAAAGCTTTATCTCTGGGTACAGGGGATGACTAAGGGAAATACAGTACAAGCACTTGTACTAGAAATGTTTTTAGGAATGTTTTTTTTTTATGGTTTCACTTACATATGACAAAGAGAGAAATGACTGTAGTTAAAGAAGAATGATTTGATTGCCATAACTATATCATGGATGTAGATTAATGCCCAGCCCTAGAGCTGTGCAAGAAGTGTTATGGGCACATGGAAAATGAGGTTGTGCACCAGTGGTTTTTGTGACATGATTTTCAAGAGTGGTGAACAGCTTCTATGCAGTTGTAGAGATTTGATGCTGCCCAGAATATCTGACATCCAAATTTTGACTAAAAGTTTAGAAATCTAACACTCTTGGGAGAGGAAGGATAAAAGAAGTGGGAAAATGAATTAAGCTATTGGCAGAATCCAATTTTACCAAAGAGGCAACCACAGCATTTATTTTTTTTTTTTCTTACAAAATGAAGTTTCAGGTGGGGTCTGAGTTTCAGCTGTTTGGATTTACGACACAGTGAAGTGAAGGAAAAAAGAGTTGTTTAAATCAAGAGAAGAGATAATAATTGCTGAATGAGAAATGTAGCATGGACAGAACTCATCTAAGCAGAGTTTTCTGTGCGAACTGTGGCTTCCAGAAAAGAAAAGGTTTTTAAGAGTTGCCTGTTGGACCCAAAACATTCAAGAAAACTCTCAATTGGCCTCCTTTTTTAAAAAACATAAATCAGTAGAAATTAAAGGCAAGAAGCCTCCAGCGAGACAGTCCATCAACTGCATCCCTAACCCTCATTTGGGAAATGAAATATACTGCAAAAGAAATGCGTTTGAAGAGACCATTTTAGAGGAGGATTTAGCAGAGAACTCGGTATGTGCTGGTTTGACAGAAACCTACATGGACAGCTAGTTTAAAGAGGAGATAAATCTTCTCTGCTTCTTATTACAGTTCTTATTCCTGATTTTACAGCATAATTTGTTCATGTTTGACTATGAAGTCAAGCTAGGACTGGAGGTGAATAGTGAGCTGAACTTGTCCCTCTACAAAGGAATTTTATACACTTTAAGCTCATATGAATCACTGTAACTAGCCCCAAGCTGGCATTGAAAGCGGCTTTTGCATCATACTTATGAAGAGCTGAAATACAATGTGGCGAACTTCTCTGTTTCAGTATAGGCTCAGCACTTCCAGCACTTGTGTTTTTATGGCAACAGGAATTTCATCACAGCAAAAAACCTCAGCTGTAAAATGGGCTTCATCAGAGCATTCCAGTTCAAAACTTGTCCTGTTGCATGCTTCAGAACAGAAAGAGTAGAATCAAAACATTTTGGGAAAGAAGAAAATCCTTCTTGAAAAACTGACTTCTGGTTATTCTTTGAACCTTATGCAAAAATAGGTGTGTATTTGGAAAAGAATAAATGACACACTGATAAAGAAGTACTGTAACTGGAACCCAAATGGCTTGATTCCTTCTGGACAGTATGCTACCAGCCCTGTGCTGTGATGTTTATAAGCATTAGGTGCAAAGTCTCTCAAGAGAGGTCAGAGTTATGTGCAGCTATACCTGTGTAAAGTGAAATCAGTTCAAATGGCACTTGCAGGCAGGTTGTGAGCAGCGGAAAAGCTATTCCAGGTTTCACTTGTTCATGCCCGTGAGCATTTGGGTCAAAACTGTAGGTAAATACGTAGGATTAAATGGTGCACAGTTGCCTGGAGGTAGGTTTGCAAATATGCCTAATTGGATTTGTGTTGCTTAGGAGGCAAGGGAAGGGTAAGGAACAGAACTGAGCAGGACTGGGACTAGATGGACTCTCACTGGTGGGAGAAGAGCACTAGTGCTGCTGGCAGCCCTGTCGCCCACCAGAGCCTTCTGGCTGGCTTTGCAGCAAGCTGTCCCCTCCTAGTAGGAGAATGTCTGCTCCAGAGCCACCGCTGACAGAGCAACCTTCCTGGGTCTGAGCTTTAAAGCCATCTGTTCCCAACAGAGCCTCCGAACACACTCCTTGTCCTGCACAGCCACTTGCTGAGCTCTGGGATGCGTTGGGTGAGACAATCTCCTACAGGACAGTGTGTTGTAGAAGGGGAAATTGTGTGGCACTAGAATGAGTGCCCCTGTTGGTGTCTTACATATAGACAGCATGATGTATTTCACCTCTGTCTCCACCATAACCCTGTGATTCACTGTCACATTGCTGTGACAAGAGAAAACAGTACTCTATGCAAAGACTTTATATCAGTTGAAACACTACCTGCATTCTGATCCTTAGGAATGGTGTATTTTTATATTTCCTTAGCTAGTAGAGAAGCATCTGGGGGTGCTGGCTTATGCTCAGTACCTCTTAGAGCCTTCCAGTCTTTGCTTGGATCAAACCCAGCTTCCTTCCCATGTTCAGATGTTTCACTGTTGAACTGGCTCCTCTTTCTCTAACCTTGTCTCTCTGTCTCTCTGAAACACACGTGCTCTCCCTCTCTGCGCCTATTTGTCTGTCTCTTGTCCTCCTCTGACCTCCTTAGAATAGTAATTTTACTTCGTTTTCCTCTCATGTAAGTTTTATTATGGCTCTTTGATTTTTCTTCTGCCTGCTCTTTACTTATGGAAGTTGAAATTAATTTACACATTGATCAGTTAAGTCATAATGTGTTTTCTCACATGCACTATCGTGGCTGTATAACTTTGCAAACTGATGCAGTGGGTTCATGAAATTCTGACACCAGCAGCACCTTGGTCTTTTCAGTGCTCTGTGCAGGACCCAGTTGAGTGACCCCATTTGGATGTTATTAAAATGAGAAATCATTCTGGTTTTCCTAAGTATATACGTGAAGAAATAAATATGCATCTGAACTGCATACCTAAGAATGAAGCAGATGTGTTCAGGAGCATTGTACCTCAAACTGTGATGTGTAGTGTACTTTAGCCACTGCTGTCCTTGGCTACCTGCTGTCAGAACAGCTGGAATGTCATCAGTGCTCCCCGGGCTGCTGCAGAGGAGTTGATCTGGTCACCAAGCAGGCAGGGACGGTGGGTTGGTTTTAGTGGGTGCGGGGAGGAACCCCTCTGTTGCTGCCCGTTCTGAAGCAGTACATTAGGACTTGGTGTTGACTCTGAAGGTGCAGGTTGGTACAGATCTGTTGGAGTTTTGGCCAGTAGCTTGAGGTATTTTACAGTGGACAGTATTTACAATGGAGTGTGAAGATTGGGTGAGATTTGTTAGGATAAACCAAGGACTGATATTTCTGAGAGTTAATGAATTCATGCTTTTGTCATGTAAGAAGCACTAGATTATAAAATCCTGATGTTAATTTGGAGCTTATTTGTCCTCTATGTTTTGCAATGTGAAATTTAGCATAGTTTAAAATACATGATTTTTAAGAACTTTTCTAAGGTAGCTTTCCTTAATAATGGAACAAACATTGTAGAGAGGGAAGCTAGATCCATTCATCATTCTCTTTGCCATTAGAAACCATTTTGTCCGATTCTTGATCCTTAGTTCCCATTTGAAGGATCTACAAGAACCTGAACAAAATCAAGATACATCATTTTGATTAAACAAGTTAAAATTCAGTCTGAAATTGATGCAAGAGAGAAATCATTACCAGAGCCAAGCGTCCGGTGATTTCTGGCTAAATGAACTGATACTGATTTTAAGAAAATAGTGGATTGATCCAAAACTCAGGTGAAGAGCCAGAGTTTCTGGTTCATACAGAGAGGCTGCAGCTGATGTATAATGAAGAGGAAAACATGTTAGCTTCCTGCAGCTTAATGCAGACTGGAAGCCTAATGAGGAAGCAGATTTATTTGTTTAGGTGAGGTCAAATGATCTTTGAATGTAGCTGTTACTCTCTGGCCCTAACCACATAGTAGGTTTTCTTGCTCCATTTTTCTCCTAGTAACTTCATAGCATAGTGTTGAGGAGACAACCAGCACTCCTCAGGCTTAGTATCTTAATAAGAACATTCAGAAGCTGTAAGAGGAAAAGCACGTGGGGAGAGGAGCTCCCCCCCCCAGCTGCTCCTGTTTTAAAGACACTGTGCAATAGCGTACCTGCAGAACTAGCAGCAGATCTGCTCCTTTCAACATGGGTCGTGCAGGTATTGCTCCCTGGAAACTAGCTATGTGCTGCTGATGCAGACTGGTAGTGC